CTTTATTTTGGTGGGAGTTATAATAAAATTTAAGATTTACGGATGCCCTTTAATGTAGCGTTTTGTCCTAGCTTTAGATGCTGGGGGTGCTGCTGGTCAAACGGTGACATTAATTTAACCTGATATATTATCAAATTTTAACGAAACCTCAAATATGGAGAAGTTTATATCGAATGTGAAAAGTGAGTCATTTAAAATTATAGTTATTTTAACCATTGTTGGAGAAACGTTTATGCGTTATATCCCGTTTTTAGTAACCTAGCTTACATGCTAATCGTTAGCAACGTTAGCCGAAAGGCAGGCTTCATTGGCGCCAAGGAGGTTTATTAGCAAACAGCATTATTATTGAGGTGTTTTTATATTAATGATGTTGCATGTAAAGATAATTGAGATAAAATGAACGGTTACAACTGCCTTAAGGCAAAATTAGCTCTGTATATATGGATTGATTCCTCATCCTATAAAGAAAGTTTCCCAAAGCAGGTGTTCCTGTGCTCCTCTCATAGTAATATAACGTGACAAAAAATATAGTGTTAATAAAGCGCTTTAATTAAAACATAATGAGCCACTTGGTTTTGTACGTACAGTTTAGGAAATCTTACAGATCCTCAGGTCAAGTGGAACATTTAAAAAAATTAAGACTGCTACACTAAAATGAATGCTTTGTTACCACAGAACCTACATGTAAAGATCCAGTATTCCTAAATAAAAAATAGCATTAATAATTATATTTGTATATGCAAAAATAATTTGTTTAGCTAAATAAAGCCTGTTCTGCTTTTATAGTGTTGTATTTATTATGTTAGAAACAATGTAGTGAAAATTCAATTAGGTGAATGTTGTTGAAAATGTCAACAGTTTATTTAACATTCTTGTTCAATAAATAGCGTCCTATTCCATTCCCTTAAGTTAAGTTAATGAACTTTCCAGAGGAGGTGTTGTTGGGATTGTATCTACTGTTGTAATAGCAGTTTGTAGCCTTATCCATGACCCTATATTACAACAGTTTGTGTTCTATTGGGTTCAGATTTGGAACAAATTGTTCAGGTTCTATAGAACAGGTTTTTTGCACATGGATTGGCTCAGGAATCTTTTTCTCCCAAGTCCCATTTGTTGATTTTTGCAGCTGTGATGGGAAAAACAATTCGTTGATGTTTTAAATTAGGAACGAACCCGCTCACCACTTTTACAAAGAATTATAATTTGTTAGCTATAGTTCATGTGAATAATTCAGCTCTTGTTTTGCCTGGTAGAGTGTTTACAGATCAACAACTGCACTCTCTGATCCTGTGTGCTTAGTGAAATGTTTAGACTGTAAATATAATGCTGCACGAATGGAAAGAAAGGCAGTAAGACATGTACAAGCAAATTAAATTGACACCTCAAAATACCTAGCCTGGCCAGCCAGACTAATTTATGCTGTAAACATAGCAGATTAGTCTGGAAATAGAGCAGGTAGAGCCTGATTTCAAAGGCATGACTAACAGGAGACAGAGGAAAAAGCTTAAAACCATTTGGAGGCCATTTGGCCTGGCTCACAAGGCTAAAACTTGAAGTAAGTCAAACTAGTGGTAATCCAACTTTAGAGTTTATGCCAGTTTATTTTAATGTAACTGGTTGCTGGTTACACTGAAAGCTGTCAAAATTGCACTACAATTCGACCTGACCTTGACTTTTAATGAGCATAACGGCCGGGGAAACAGTGTTTTTATACATATTTACTCCTTATTTGCAAATACCTATATGTACATACACTCAAAAAAAATATAAACGCAACACTTTTGGTTTTGCTCCCAACATCAACATTTTTGTTGATGCATATGGATAGCAAATTTGATAAAGATAAGATAAAGCATTATTAGAGACAAAGATTTTTTTTGTAAATATAAATATTTTTTGTACTTTTTGGTTTAAGCAATGCTCTGAATGAGCTGTTCTTTCAGCAAATGGTATGTTTTAGAGTAATAATTTAAATATAATATAAACTTTGGATCACTGGTAAGTTAATAAATAGGTAAACACTTTTTTGTAAAAAGAAGTTGAGTTTATTTTTTCTATGGGATACTAATATTTAGGGAACGTATGTAAAAAAAACAAATGTACTTCTTTTTGAGGAAATGTAATCTAAATCGTTCCATCAAAAAGATGAAAAACGGCTAAAACCTGCGTAACATTTAAAGACTTGTATCTGTCCCAAGTCATAAAGAGTCATTTTGGAAGCAGGGACCACTTTCTGCTGCAGGCTGCATGCAGACTCCTGCTTTAGGTTGTGTTACCCAAACTGAGTTAGTTAAGTTTAGCTGTACTTATACTCTATCATTCTATATAACACTGTTATAGAAATTATTAAAGGTTCTGTTCTTTCTTGGACCAATAATTAGTTGTATCTCTGTGATGCGTGGAAAAATGTGGGTACCTGCCCAGGGATTGCGGGTGGAAACTAGCAATAGCTAACTCTGGTATAAGACATCTCTTCTTTAAAGATGAATGTGTTTTGTACACTTTCCCTGTTAATTAAACAAGTCTATTCTCTTATTGTTCTACTTAGATGTCCTCTATCTGCTTTTATTTTCACAGCTCTCACAGATAACCTGTTGCAGAAACAGTGGCCAGATTGTGATGAGACCATAGAGGAGCTCTTCCTTGAAGTGTCTCAGCCAGATGCTTTGCCTAAAATGCCGCATTCTCAGGTACATTAAATTGAGGGACAGGATTTTAAGACAATTTCACTCTTGGATGTTCCAAGCAGGCAGGTTTAAAAACACAAACGAGGATTTTTCCAGTTTCTTGAAAAAGTATTGACATTGTATAATCTGCTGGGACACATAATATGGTCAGGGTTATTTGGTTCATAGATTCAAATTTGGAGTAGATAAAATATAAACAGAAGTGAGTGTTTCCTGCTCTTATCAAAGATTTTTTTTATGCAGAAAGATACATTCCTATATTTTCATCTGTTTTGCTAAGAAGAAGAAGGACTGTTGTTTTGGTAGTTTTGATTCACAAACCTGGTAGTAAAATTCCCCACAAGACTTGAAACTGTAGTTCCACTGAAATCAGGGAGGGTTGTACTGTATGTTAAAGTCACACTTTCCAGATTATATGTAAAAAGAAAAACAAAAAGAACCCATTTTTAAACCTGTTTGTTACAAGCACTGTTCCATGTTTTATTTTCACATAAAAAGCAATAAATTATTAAATTTCATGGTTGTAATGTTTCATAATATGCTTTGGAAAGGCTCTGTAGTTTATTAAACAGTTTTGAATCTGAACATTCAAAATGAGCTAATAGCCCTTTATGATTTTATTTTTTTTTTGTTCTGTTTTATAGATTTACCTCAGTTGTATGTATGTAACACACAAACAATATTTTTTTTCTTCCCAGCTTGAGGACTGTGCCATCCAGCTGTGGAATTGGTCAGTTAGCAAGAATGCTGGTTTTGCTCTCAGCATCAGTCAAAAAGCCAAAGGTACCCTCCTAATCCCATAATCTATCTAAATCTAAACTGTAACAGAAAACCTAAAACCAAACATTGCATCTGGATCATAAGCTGAAAAGAAAAGCTGTGCACATTTCTGGTCGCAGTTATATTGCATCACATCCAAACATTTCCATTATACAGTCCGACATGTCGCATGCAGCCTGCTTTACTGCTGTGAACCTGAGAATCCAACAGAGGGCGCTGTTCGCAAGCAGATCCTGGTGAGCCATAACTACAGTAGGCCCCCTCAACCAGTGCTCTCTGCATTTCATCAGGAGAAGGCCCATTTGTCAGTGTCTGATCTTTACAGATGGCCAGCAAAACGGGGAGAACCTGGCTAGACTGCAAAAACCCCCAGATGGCAGATCATTTCTTGAGGCTTGCCGTCAAGGTAAAGAAAAAAATGAACACACAGACTGAAAGAGAGAGAGAGATTTAGTCGATGCAAGTTAAGTTCAAGCTGAAATGTGGTGTTATAAAACAATATTCCACATTCTACATCACTAGAGCCTGGAAACCCTCTACAGCCAGCTAATGTCCAGAGGCAACGCGGCAGCTGAGGTTTCTTCATACAAGGCGGATGTGGAGAAGGACCTACTTCGAATCCTATCCTGCCAGGCAGAGTCGGTGAGCTGTGGCGAATGTGATGTTCAACACCTTCGATGTGAATATTTGTTCTTGTGATATTTGGCAGCTCAGGAAGTGCTGTTCTGACTGACTTGCGGTGTGAAGTGTGAGACAGCTAAAATGTGAACTGAGAAACAATGAGAGGGGGAAATCTTCAATATCTAATAAGGCATTTCATGTTGTTCAAATCTGACCTCCTTTACAGGCCATGTCCCAAGGGAACAATGACGAAGCCATGGTCTACATGCAGCGTTGTAAAGACATGTTGCAGCTGCTACCGAAAGATGTAAAAAAAAAAACAATCCCTCAGTTAGCACTTGTACAGCACAACACTTTGTATTGATTTGTCACATTCACAGCACATATTGTTGCTGAAAGTGAGGGGGACGCTAACCGTGAACACACTCTCTGAACACAGACGGCATACCTCTCCCTCATGTGCTACAACTTTGGTGTTGAAACCTATAATCTGAGGAAGTTTGAGGACAGTGCTTTATGGTTGAGGTAAATACAAAATTTTTTGTTTTTTTGAAAAACTGTTCATTTCATTGAAGGGAAATTAGCACCTCTTCTTTTTCAGTCAAGGCTATGACATTTGCAAAACAAATGTGAAGTCAGGCCCTGGACCAGAAGCCGTGGTAAGACTCTAGTTCAGAGTAAAGCCACAAAAATCACTGGAAACAGGTAGAGATTTAAACTTTAGTTTCTCAGTTTCCTCTTTTCTGACCACAGGCCAAAATCTTGCGTCTTCTTGCCACAGTCTATCTAGAGTGGGATTGTCAGAAGTTTCAGGATAAGGCTTTGAATGCCGTCAACTTAGCCAACAAGGTACGATGTGAAATATGATCTTGAGAGTGTTACACAAACAATACTTTAGGAAATATCATCATGCTTTTTGCCTGATTGGCTCCTTTCATTTTGGCAGGAGTGTGTCACTTCACCTGGGCTGTATTTAAAGATCAGAATCCTCCTGAGATCCGGGGCCCCAGACAATGACATCAGAGCAGGTTAGTTATAACAGCTCGATGAATTATTTATCCAGAATATCATTCAATGAATATAAAGAGATCCTTAATGTTAATTCCCGTCAGACATTTACTTTAAGGGTGTATAGAGTATACTAAAGAGCTCATACCCCTTTAATTTTATGTTACAGCTATAAATGTCAAAGCAGTTGGGATTTTATGTGATATATCAAATAGATGGAAAGGGATCTGCCTTTTATTTTTTACAAATGAGAATAATTCTCAAAAGGATGGCATGAAGTTTTATTAAACCACAATTTACTTTGGTTCTGCTGAAGCTGAGTCAGTGCATCCGGTTTCCTACAGATAAAGTCATTATGTATAATCTCATCTTGATGATTGTTCCTGGATTTAGGTGAAAACATCCCATCTTGCTGAAAAGGACCACTGAAGATTCGATGTAGTTTTATGTAGCTTTGCTTTCGAAGTGCAGCATCAATAACATTAACATAGAACTACATGATCTAGAGCTTTCTTCTTCTTCTTCGCTGTTCATTAGTTGAAAAAAAACAACAATCTTGCTGACATATGGTTTGTTTGCCCTCTAGTGGAGAGATTCTTGTACAGTCAAACTAGTATAATGACTTAATTTAACCTATAAAACAAATCCCCTTAGGGTTTAAAACAATCATTTAAACGTAATGGTAATGTATTTATTCGATTGTCTAATTTATTCAATTCTATTTATTTAACCTATGAACTTTTGCATTAACCATTATAACAATATTTAACAATGAGCTGCAAAGACCTCAGAGGCTTGGAAAAGAGATAGGAACTAAAAGAGCTGCAAAGATATGCAACTTGGCTGTAAGAATATGTGTCCAGTAAAACTCTATATTACTGAAGGAGTTTAGCACTACACTGTTAAAATGAAGTCCAGTTTGACACCAGCCATGTTGGGCCCTCTAGAAACATGCAGATGCATGGACTCTGCTTGTGGAAAGCCAGCTATGCATATATCTCTGAAAATTTTAAGACCATTGTGAAATAGGGTGGTGGAAGCATTATGCTGGGGGGATGCTTCTCCACAGCAGGAACAGGGTAGCTGTTGAGAAGGGAAATTAATGAAACCAACAATTACTGTGCTGGTCAGTCTGCTGGAAATGTTTCATTAGCCAAATAATTATTAGATAGAAAAAAAGGTGTTTAATAGGAGTTCTGGATGAAACATTTTTTCTGAGAACGAGCATTTTTTATCTTAAGTGGAAAGTAGGTGTAGTTTGGAACAGTTTTTGCTTCCTTTGCAACCCTGAGCGGGCTGTTCTTTCTGTAAATGACGTGTTTTAACATCTGTATGCCCCTGTTAGAAATAACTAAATCAGTTGAAGATTTCAACAACTGATGAATTGTTTCAGTCCTGGAAGCAAAACACGGGGAACAGGACAGCACAGTACTAGCGTACACAGCTAGAACTACGATGCATGGGCTTCATGACAGAGCATTAGCCATGCTGGTGTTGCCATACAAGCCGTATGTTCCAGATAAATCCTTTGGAGATCTGAATAAAAAGCAGAACATGGATAGTCACAGTTCATTCAGTCTCACCATGCATTAGCCATTTTGTAAAGGATAATGTTCAACATTGTCTTTAGATGTGCAAAGTTGCATAACTAGAATACATTAAAGGTGTGCTAAGGATTCTAAAAAAAGAAAAATCCTATTTAGAACCCTGTACGATTTATATCACAATCGTACACTACTTTATGCTGGTCTATCACATCAAAATAAAAAAAAAAAACGATGGGGTATGAATGTTTCAGCAAGGAAATATCAAATATCCTCTTTGAGAGTCAGATTCTTGCAAACAGTGAAATTAGGGAACAATTTAAACCTGCTGGTGACTTGAAAAGCGAGGGTTAGAGATTGACTGTTACAAATATATATATGTATATGTATTTTTCCAGGACTTAATGAGATGCTGGGATCCCAGGTTGCTATTGAGGTCTGTCTGAGCACTGTGAAGCTCCTCATGTCTGAAGAAAGGTAAAAAAAATTTATACCTTAGTTTGTTGACTTTTGTTTACATTCAACCAAATATATGTAAGTTTAGCCAGATTGTATGGGAAATCACAGTCGCCCTCTGTCCAGTCTAAGCTGATAGTTCTTTGTGATTCCTGCAGAGAAATGCAGGCGTTTGACTTTCTGAAGCGTGTGTGTGAACACTTTGGGCCCTCCCCTGACCTGGGAACCGCTCTAGTGTTGCACATCGAGCTGCTGCTGCAGAGAGGCAAAGAGCTGCTGGCCAAACAGAAGATAGAAGATATCATCAGCGGTCCTTCACTATTCCAGTCATATTTCCAAGTAATTTCAATGTGTTCCACAATTAATTTGACAATGTTTTACCTCCCACAGGCCACTACACGGGTAAACAGCTCAGTCCAGATGCGCTGAACAATTTGCAAGTCATTCTGTGGGATCAGGCCCGTGAACAGTTTGAGGTTTGCTAAACTCCATTTCATTTTCCTGAAACGTTCCTTTGTTTAATCATACCTAATGGGTTTATCTCTGCTTTTAATGTATATCCATTCAGGATGGTTACTATTCTGAGGCTCTTCAGTGGTACAACTACTCTCTGAGTTTCTACAAGGCCGGTCAGATTGAGCCCAATCTAGCCAAGCTGCAGAGGAACAGAGCATCCTGCCTTCTGCAGCTTCAGCAACTGCAAAAGGTGAATTATAGTTAACTCATTAAATGCAGCAATTCAAATAATTCCGCTGCAGTAGTGTATTTCTTCATATCATCAGGAAGTCTGTGCATGTGAGCCATTTTTTTCAGGCTAAAGAAGCAGTTAAAGAAGCAGAAAGGTGCGACCCTGAAAGTATCTTCACCCAGTTCAGTGTTTACAAGATCGCTGTTCAGGAGAACGATGTAGAGAAAGGTATCTACATGGCATTAGCTATGTTATTAATGCACGCCAAAGACTGCAACAATACCTGTGATGAAGGCTTGTTTTTCAGCTTTTGCTCTGTTTTGATCAAGCTGCAGAGGCAGTGACTGCAATGGGGCTCCTGTCTAAGGCTCCTGTATCCAGTGAAGACAGACTGCTGCTATCTGAGAGCGCAGCCTCCTATCTCCTCAGTCTGGCTGCTCAGATGGCTCTGGAGGTAGAATTCACCTCTCCAATGATCACTTGTATCATTTCTAGAGTTTAGGTTTAATCCCGTTTTTCAGTTCTGTGGTGTTCTTTATTTTAAAGCAGGGTTGGGTGATAGAAACATAAAATTTCAGAGCTATGTCCAAGCTTAAAACATTTATTTCCCCACGCCATGATGCTGCCACCACCTTGGCCAAAATCTACTCTAACATGATTTATTCTAAGTTTGTAAAAGGGAAATAAAAGGAAACAGGCTATTTGTCTAATAGAAAATGTTTACATTTACTTTTTTATCTTTTGAGTTGTCTTTACCGCTTTGGCAATCTAGAGTCAAAAGCTGTACTTCTGATCAAATAGAGAGTTTGCAAATTTTAAATTGAAATTTACCAATTGAACCTGTTTGTTGATGGCTTCTGCCCAAGTTTCAGGCGTCCTGTAAACATTTTTATCATAGGTTTTCCTATATTTAACTCTGTTCATCTTCACATCAGTTCTGACCATTGTCCCTGCTTTGCTGAAGAAAAGCATCCCACAGCATAATGCTTCCAGTACCGTACCTTGATAGTTGCCTCCCATACGATTACCAACAATGGTACAGATTCGCCGGTTTTCTCTTTAGCTATTCTAAAAACAGTTGACTGCACAGGTTTTATTCAGTAGCTTAAGCATAAAGGAAGCTAAATACAAACAAGATTAGTGCTTGTTAAATCGTGTTCACAGTTAATAGCTAGCTGTCACATGGGATTCTTGTGAAATACAATACATTTTGTGGAAAGAAATTCTGGAAGAAAAAAAAAAACATGAATATTTCAGTGAGACACTTTTGACAGAGCCAGTATAGGATGTTCTTTTACATGATGCTTAATTGTAATGAATATTAACCTTTTTTTTATTTATCATTGAATTGTTTGTTTGTTTGTTTGTGGCAGAAGGAAAAACAGGAAACGGCAATGAAAGCTCTGGAGGTTTTGTGTGAAAACTCAGACGATGAGGCTCATGTTCTGATGGCTCTGAGGTCTGTGAAAGAAACCACTGTTTTTTTTTTTTTTAAAGTTTGGTTGTTTTTTTACTTGTTTAATTTAGTTCAATCTGTGGTGCACTTTGAAAACAAATTCTAAGAAAGACAAGTTCTATAAAAGACAGCCTGTAACATAATCTGCTTCCCTTACAGATGGTAGTGATTCTTCCTCTAGGTCACCTCTAATGATCCACTGACCTGATTTCTCCTCAGCTTCCCCACAGAAAGTGTGTTTGTGTATAACGATGTCAGTAGGTGACAGAAAAGAGGTCATCATCCATCGTCCCTCATTTTTATTCTCTCAGGTGTTTGGTCCGACTCACGTTCTGCACAGCAGAAAAATCAGCTGATGGGTTGAGGTGAGACTAAATGCAATAAGAGTTATACACTGTAGTGTTAATGGTTAAATATTCTGCATCTAAAGGAATCAAATCCATGCAGTGACGCAAATCTGGACGCCTTCCTTCGGTATCTTAAAAAGGGTAAGACGATTTACGACTAATAAGCAGCTGAAACCAGATGTTTGATCATTTGCTATAAAAATCCTTAGGTTTAGTTTTTTGTTTTTGTTTATGATGTTAAAGTAGACTAAACTCTTCTGCTATAAGTCAGTTAGGATTTTTATATTTTCCTATTTGCTTAAAAAAAAAGTAATAGAGACACTTCTTTTGTTTCACCAGATGGAGTTTTTCCATAAATTTGGTTGATGTTCAGTAGCATCTCTTATAAACTGTATTATTATAGTATTCAGGGGGTTTCTGAAAGCACAGCAGTCCATAGATCCTTTCCTTCCCTGGTTACAGTTCTTACTGTTGACCCCAGAAAAGGGGATCAGGAGGTAGGAGCTACAGTGTGATGGCTTCAGATAGGGACGAGGTGTCAAACTCCACGGCTTTTTATCCAGCTCAGCTGGTAAAGTGATAAACTTTATCCTCTTTTCACCAATCTGCTTTATTTGTGAGCTTTAATTTTTCAGTGATGTCACACAAGTGATCAAGGATTTGAGGGAGTTTCCTGACAATAGATCCACAGCTATGTAACTGATGTGGATGACCTGTTGTCATCATTGTGGGTTTAATCACATTGTTTAATGGAACGTTAATCCTGTCGTATTTACACTTTAAACAGAAAAGGTTTAGTCTAATTTAATATCAGTGAAAAAAAGGTGAGTTGGTGTCTTTTTATGCAGCGGATGTAAATGCCTGGTTTCAGCTGGATTTAACTGCATATTTCCTCCAAGCAACTGTGCAGTCCATGCAGATGATGCACGTTTTGTCATCCACACAGCTCTGCAGACACTTTCACACCATTCTCATATGACTGCTGAGCAGCGCGCCGAGGACGCCAACTGGTTCAGAAAGATCGGTACCGACTCTCTCCGTTCTAACACCACACACTGTGCTATCACCTGACACCTTGCAGCAGCGTCGTTTGGTCTGTTGCAGCCTGGAACTCAGCTCTGCAGTGTGAGAGCAGCCCTGACAGGATGAGGGATTTCTTTGTCCTTTCCTATCAGGTGAGCGTGATGCTTTGCTTTGCCATGACTCAAATAAACGCTGAGGAGTAATTAAAGGTAGCTCTGACAGAGCTTTATCACTGCTGTAATCTGAACCTTTGAAGCGTTTCTTTAATGAAATATTCCAAAAAAACTAAACATATCAATCAGAATACAAAGTGTATAAATACGTTTAATAAGTTTCATAATTAAGTATAAAAAAGTGTACAAGGCACATGCTTACATTTTTTTCTATTAATAATTTAGTTTCCTAGAAAAATATAATCTCTTATTTTACTTCAGTCACGCCTACGAATAACATCTACAAACAGCATTTATATCGAGGGGAAAATAAATCCACCTCAGCTATTCAAAGCTTAAAGTTTCTTGACATTTTGCAGAGGTTTTTTTTGTCAAAAAGAGAAAAATGTTTCCTCCACCTTCCAGTTATGGACTGTTGGTCTGTCACATAAAATGCCCCACAAAAGATGAAGTTTGTTGGAAATGTGAGAGTAATCAAGGAGTATTTTTTATTTTTTTTTTTATAAATGTGTAAATTACACCTGTTATAAACCAACCTATAAAGTTTAACCATGGGAGTTTTAACATGAGGACAAAATGTACTTTCAGATAGTATCTGATTATTTTTCAGTTACTAAATATTTTCAACATGTCAAAATGAACATAAATAATGAATATTTCTTCTAGTACAGTTGCTAAGATAATAACCGTGGCTGTTATTCCTGCCCTGCTTAGTTCTTCTGTAGGTTAAACACACAGACAACAAAGCAGAGCATCTGTGCTTTGCTTCAGCTGCCAGAATTAACGTTTTTATTTTCCTCCCTGACCTTATAGCTCTCCCTGCTGTGCCCTCCTGACCGCACACTGCTAATGGGCCAGAAGACATGTCTGCTGATGGCAGCTGGTGCCTCTTTGGAGCTCTGCAGGAAGTCTCCTCTCTCCAACCAGGTGTGCCACCCCCTCCTCATCCTCTACATTTAGCAAGCTCACATTCAAAAAGGATGGAAATTTACCAAGACCAGTGGAGAGGAGAGGTGACTAACATTGCTGGCAAAGGCGTAGGTGTTTTCAGTTAAATCCCTCCGCATTGGAAGAGGAAAAAAAAAAAAACACTAGATGGCGTCAGTGAGTCCAGAATCCTTGTGAAGTGTGTTTGGTTTACAGGATGCAGAGCTCACTGTGGCTCTGGAGCATATTCAGGCCTGTTGGGAGGTCTGGAAAACCCTGAAAGCATCAGGTACGGAAGGCAGTATATCAATATAATCTGACTATTCGTTTTTTTAAGACCTTAGCTGAATAGATTTTCCTCTTAATGGATTTGAAGGCAGCATTCCAGCAGATCCCACAGACTCCCTGCTGCTGCTTTATGAATTCGAAGTTCGTGCAAAGCTGAATGATCCAAAGGTGGAGACCATACTCCAGTCAGTGTTGGAGCTTGGAAATGTTGAAATCAAAGTATTGGAATCCATTGCAGGTAATTAAACTAAAAAAAAAATAAACTGAGCAGATCAAATATTACTAGCTCCATTACTTCATATTTATTGTTTTTCTCTAAATGAAGCCTTAGCCATGGAGCCTCCTGCCTACTTCCCTCTGCTCTGTAAGAAGGCTCTGAGAGTGGCTCTCTCGCTGCACAGGAAACAACCACAGGCTGACCTCACACACTGCAGGCATCACCGCACTGCATCAAAATACTCTTCTCCTTTAAAGCTCTTATTGGAGGGAAAATGTTTCTAATTACATGTCTCCATCTTAGCAAATACATTCACAGTCTGATCAAGCTGTCCCTTCCAAGTGGTGTGTCACAAGTGGAGACCCACATGCTGCAGGAGGTGTGGGACTACTTTGAGGAGGCCCTGTCCATCATCTCAATCACAGTGAGTTAGCACCAATCACATGCCAACTTCCCTGGGCTCCATAATTAACCCCCTCTCCTCTGCTCTGCCCGCTGTTTCTTCTTTTTTTAATCAATGGACTTTCAGCCATGCATCAATTAGCAGATGCTTCCATTCACCACCCCTTCCTGCCAATTTGAATGTTAATGTTCTGCTCAAATCATTACACTGCCGGTGAGCAGCATCTCTGAAAGGCATGGGATTGTGGAAGCCTCGCGCTGCTGTTCAGGCGGTGCGTATTTCCCCTTTCAGACCGAGTTAATACTTGAAAGCTGAGGAAAATCTTTGGATCAAAGCAAAGGGACAAGATTAGCGTGTCAGAGAATATGAATGAAATGATTCCAAGGAGTTGGTTCATGGTCTTGAAAAGGTTAACACACAAAGGCGCAGCATTTGATGGAAGTTCATTCGAGTTCCTCGCTGCTGCACACTAAAAGGAACTTTGTCAAGTGAGTCACCCAGGTGGTTCTTGGTAAAAAGCTTTTTATTAAACATCTTCCTGCTCTTCTCTGCAGTCAGATGACTTCCCAGAGATGGAGACCCTGTGGCTGCTGACTCAGGCTTGGAACACAGGAATACTGCTGTACAGCTTGACCCAATACCACGAAGCAGAGAAGTGGTGCGGCCTCGCTATGGGCTTCATCCGCCACCTGCGATCTCTACGCCAGAGCTACGAGATGCAGGTAGAGCATCACTGTTGCCTCCTCATGTAGGATGCGAACAAACTGGAATCTGTTCTTTGAAAGAAAAATACTAAAACTGTCTCAATGAATCAGAATATCATCAAATAGATCATTTAAATAAATAAAAAATTGAAGTCTGTCATATTGTTATTCTCATATTCACTAATATTTAAAAACTCTGGGCATCATGGGATATGTAGTGTTTGGGTTTAGTGCTAGGTAATACGGCGTTAGATCCTTTAGTAAAAGTTATGAGGCAGATGTGTGGCCATGATGTGGTCAGCAGGCCTTGAACTTTAAAAAAATCTGCTTATAATAAAGAAAAAAAAAAATACAGAAAACCTGAATATTACATTAAACCTATTAAATATTCTAATGCACCTCTTCTGACTTTAAGACTGTCATAGCTTTCCCCAAGAACAGTTTGCATTAAAAACCACATAAGGCTTGGTGCCGGCGCACAGAGACAGGAAAACCTGGAGCCTGAATCCATTTACTGAATCCTAATACATAGGAGCAATTAAAGGTATGCAGGTATGGAAGGCCAAAAATGCTGCAAATTCAATACTTTAAAACTAGTAATATTTCTATTGGTTGATGGAAAAAAAACAATAATCAATTTAACTTGAAATGTATAAAACAATGTTAATTCTTAATGGTTTAAGTTGGTTATTAAACACATATTAGTAATTATTAAACATTTTATCTTATAGCCATGAACGGATACATTCTCTTTATCTAAAATAAAAAATAATTTTGCTATAAGCTAGTCAGTGAGTTATTTGGATTTTATCCAGTTATTTTGGTTCAGACTAAACCATGCTGCCGAATGGCCTGAAATCAAGTATTTAATGCAAAGAAATCAACATGAATGCAAAGACCCTTCACACTAGCCTAAAGTGTTTGGGTTTTAGTAAAATCATATTCTGAGCGAGTTTAATGTTTGATTTTTATAAGCTGCAAGATGAATCCTAAAACAAACTATATCATATGGTACATAATATTAGGGCCTTTTTTCTGATGAATTTTCCACGCTCATGGAAATGATAATCCACTGATTGTTTATCCACAGATGTCTGGCCTCTACAGTGAAATCCTGGACAGATTGGACAAAGCAAAGAAAAACAGCCACACAGAGTAGACATTCAGCTACTGTCTCCTAGATGTTACACGTTCTAAATGTGAACCAATTCTAGTTTGTTGCAGTTCAGTTTTTGTTACTTCTTTTTGCTACAACACCCCCCAAAAAAAGAGGTGGTGGACTTTCATCTTCTCCGTGTGAGTTAAGTATAAGCTGTTAAGTATCAAACCCTATTGGGTCCTTATATTTTGTTTTTCCAAAATCTCTGACTAAATTAATAGAAAATGACATTAAAACTGCTCAGGTTATTTGAAGAGCGACATAAAGACTTAGCTAAATAGTCTGCACTGTAGTTAATATTTATTTCTACATTTTTGTAATTCGTTTCTGTTCAAATCTGTAAAATTTAAATGTGCTGTTAGGCAGCAAGTTATGAGTTTAAATGTTTGTTCACAATCTGTTTCTGATGCTATTGATTGGAAATTTAAAAATGTTGATGTACTGAAGTTAATAAAAACATAACTTTAAAGATTTCAATTTACAAAGTACTTTCTGTGTCTTAAGGAATACGGATGGAGAAACATAAATACTAATGAGTAGATAAAATCCAGCATTGCAAGGGTTGGATAGTACACTGTTATGGCTAAAACATACAATGAAAGGCTTTAAACTCTAGAAAATGTATCTTGTTTAAGGAAGACTGATGTTTCTATGTAAAGGGAGCAGGTGGAGCACTTAAATCAGAATAACAAGCACGTCAAGATTATAACCGAGTCACATTTTATTTCCAAACAAATAAACTCTTGTCAAGTCCCAAAATAAAACCCAAACAAAAGTTGCAGGACTGCGTTCCCTCATGACTAGGACAGGGTAGACCATGAGGCCGAGCGTCCTGATAGGCTGTACCACCTGCAGTGACAGGAAGGAAACTACTGTACAATCAAAGGGTTCATGTTTGCAAGCACTTACTGCACAGATGTGCTAGAACAGAAACACCATCACCCAAAAGTACAAACAGAGACCCTGAGCCCCCCCCCCGACCCCCCCCCCCAAAAAATAAAAAGCATATATGTCAATATGTTTCTCATAAGAACGACCCTCGTCAGTTATACACAGAGGCATTCAGGTACCATCTGGTTAGCACAGCCTCAATGGAAAGAGGAGAATGAGATTGAGTTCTTTGGGCTTGGACATGGCTGACCGAGGCATGAGAAGCTCACACATCGTTAACAGTCAGCTGGGTTTGGATCCACTCTACGCTTCTGAAGTTTGATCGATGCTCTGTGTTTCTGTAGCTTTCTGTCTGAATTGCTTTTATTTTACATTATACGTCTTTTTTTATTTAAAACTATACACCCACACGTTCCACCAGAAACCACATGTAGACGGGGGCCTACTCCAGGAACCGGAACCCTTCTCACCAGGCAACGGTTCCTTTAGAAGAGAAATACTGACGTTACAGCACATTTGGATGGAACCTGTATGTGGAGAGTAGCTCAGACTTTTACTTACCTGATGTCTGTGGTCTATAAAACATGTCTGTCCAAGTTTGAGTCACACATGCATGATCTGCTGGGTTGGGGGGGGGCTTATTTACATTGTTTAGCTACCACACCATTTTTCGAAACAGTCTGCAAGCAGTTAATGGCTCTGTTCCCTTCGGTTATTCCCTGAACTCTGGTTTTGACACAGGTAATGACAGCTGGTTCAGCGGCGGTGCCTGGTAGGTGGGCACAGCTGATCGGAAAATAAAAATAAAAACAATTCCTGCAGCTTACAGGTGCTGTGAGCAGGAGAGAGCTGGGGACCCGGCTCTGGGTTCCATTTGAGTTAAAAACACATGAAAAAAAAACCTTGAAAAGGCCAAGAGGGTTCAGAGATGGGGCTGCTCCTGCAGACGTGCAAACTGCACTGAGCGATGAAATCTCTGTGATGCCAAAAAGAAAAAAAGAAAAAAGCTTAGTCCTGCAGGAGAAAAGGCCGTCCAGTTTAAACCCCTTCCAACCAACACTCTTTTCTGTGTGCTCACCTCAGGGGTTCAGAGTCGTTAAGAATGAACACATTTATAGATACTCAAAGCATAAAAGGTTTACTCAAACCCAACTTTAGTGTTTTTTTGGTAGAGGGGGACAATTCAGAACAGATTATACTGACTCTTTAATTATTAGAACATCCAATACAATTATTGTCTTGTTCTACCCGTTTTTAAGGCCACCACAGCGGCGGCAGATAGGACAGTACCATGTGACCAATCAGAAGTGAATCCTCTAGGAAGGCAGAGAGTGTAATGGGGTCGTCTACTGCTCAACAGAAGCTGGGAGGCTCTACCTGTCCGGATTAAATAAAGCCAAATTGTCAGATTATACAGAAAAAAAAGTTTGAAAACAAGGATGTGAAAGGAGTCAGAGCAGGTGAGACTTGATTTTAAATCTATTGCACTTAATGTCTGACCTCCTGAAGCTTGGAGGACACAGAAGTAAAGATCTGGCCCTCATCGATTGCTTGCAGCCTCCCTCACAACAGGTGCTCACAAAACAATGTGTATTCCATGTAAGGCAGTTTGGTGTTTTGCAGAGAGCCCGGTTACACTTCTCTACCCCCATTCCTTTACAGAGCAGCTAAAAACCACAAGCCAAAAAAATAAGAGCAAATAAAAAAAAAAACAACCCACAAAAAAAAACCTAACAGCCCTCCAAGCGACAGTTTCTAATGAAGTGTAAAATGTGAAGATTTTCATATGCTGTAAAATCTGAGGACTTATGATTTATCTTGTGATCTTATAATATAAATGTAGAGATTCACAACATGTTTCTTCCTCTTGATCTGCCTTCATCAGCCGCAGCGCTGACAACCAATCAGAGAGCTGCTTTGTGATGAACAGATTGCCAGTTTCTGTTGTTTTTTTTAATAGGCTTCTTTGCTAATTTCCTCCATCAGTATAAACATACGTCTCCTCCAACAGTACCATCAGCAGGGCTCAAATGGATCCAGTCTGTTTATAAAAAAACCCCCAAAACTAAAAACAAAACCCTAATTGTTCTTCGCCTCTCCTCGTGTCTTTTTAATGTGATCTGATGAACATTTACAAAGTGTTCCAACTTGGTTTGATTTGTCTATATTTCTTCTTTTTGAATCACTAACTCCTTCCTGATTTCTGCTCAACAGGCCCATCTTCAGGCAGTCCCGATCCCATAAAGGAACTCGCTCCTTTTCCCTTCTGTTTGACAAAATTCCTTTGGAATGGCAATTCCAGTCTTGAATGGTTTTTGTTGAGAAACTCATGCAGGGGTGTGCACAGTCACAGTAATGGTGATAAAGACTTCTTTTTCATTTAGAGAGTAACATAATGATGACACTAAAACTGGATATGAAACATATCTGCAAAAAGGAGGTGAGGAGAGGGGGGGAGGGTTTGGCATGTGGACGTGGGGTTAGGGGCTTGGGGGGGTCTCTGGGAGGGAGCTCTGCACCGAAGCAGGGAGGACGGCAGGGAGCTCAGAGCTTCTCTGGGGAGGGAATCCAGATGTAGGGACCAGACTGCTCCTCGATGATGAGCTTGATTTTGTTGTAGATCTCCTCTAGTGAGTCACCCTGTACAATAGCTAGGAGCAAACAAAGGAAACAACATTTATTAGCTGCTCTGATCAGAAGGAAAAAACAATCTGATAACTTCTGGGCACAATCATCATTTAGATCAGAGGTTTACAAATGTTTTGACTAAATTACCAATTGAAATATGAACAAAATAAAATATATTTCTGAAATGTACTTTCTCAGCAAACAAACCACATATTAACATATTAATAGAACATAGTCTGGATTTGTGGAAGTTATTCATCTTTATACGACTATAGATCCCAAAGAGAAAAGGGTGTCCTGTGTGTGCCTGAGTAGAAAGAAAAGAATAAATGTCCATTATTCTTGTTAAACTCAGGATATCTCCATCTGTGGAAGTCAAGGCCAGGATACGTCCTTCCTGCTGCACAAATACACTGTTTGCATGCAGAGCAGAGATCACAGTGAAATGGAAAAGCAAACATAGCTGTGATGATATTTTGAGCGAAATAGTGAAAAACACTAATTTATTGCTTTAAACTTATAAGATCAGAAGTAGATATTTTTTTAAATTAAGGGAAGACGTGAATTACAGATCAAACGATCAGTTTACTTATAAGATTTTTGCATCTCAATCTTCTATAGGTCATATTTTTTCCTCTCTGGTTTTATTTTTGTCTCCTCATCAGCAGACGTGATAACGTTGTGATTCTCGCCATCAGAAACTTCTGGCTGCTTCTCAGCTTGTGATACCTTGTTTCATTTCATGAAAAATCTTCATTAAGGAACCTTTTGTAAACTGATTATTAATCGATTGATTGAAAAAATAATTAACAGATTAATCGATCTGCAAAATATTCGTGAGTTGCAGCTCCACACACACAAGGTTTCCATAACATTTGGCATCTTTAAAAGGTACAAAATGGAAGGAAAAATTAAAAGAGTTGCGATTAAATAATTGAAAAAGCAGCAACCAACCTGTGAAATACTCTCCAAAGTCTTGCTCCAGCTTAACTGCCTTGTCGAAGACTTTATTAGCCTGCTCATACGTCTGCCTCTTATTCATTTCCCTGGATTGAAAAACATGGAGGGTTATTTCAGCACATAGAAGCTGTTCAGACTGCAGTGAGTAAGGAAGAGTGTGGCTCACATTAGAGCTTCGATGGATTTTGGTTTTATAAAGATGGCGATCGGATAAAGTTGTGCTTGCTGGAGTCGTTTGATGGCGTTCCCGGACACATCCAGAATGCAGTGTTTCCCCTAAAAGCACAGAGCTCAGTAAATACCACAGCATTCATGTTAGTGTCACTTTAATGAAGTATTGATTTTCTGGTGCCTACCCGCTCTGCAACGGTTCTGACTGACAAGATGCTCGTCCCGTAGAGGTTCTCATTAAACTGACCCGCCTCAATAAATTTATTATCCTGGATATCTTTCTCCATTTGCTCCCTGGAGCCCACGAAGTGGTAGTCCTGGCCGTCGATCTCGTTCTCTCGCCTTGGACGGGTCGTATCTGCGGATGCAAACGGAACAGGTTTATTTTTGTCCCTGCTCGTATGTTTGGCGCCTGGCAGGGCGGCTGGGTTCTAACTCACGGGGAACGCATGAACCAAACTTGTGGGGAAACTCGGAGATGAGGTCGTCGTTTACTCGGTCCTTCATTGGGCCCAAAATGATCACAGGCCTTGTGTAGGTGACTGGATTGGAGACAAGAGAGGTATGTAAGTTTACATGACAATAAATGATAGCTAACCTGTGGAGAGCTGTGGTCTCACTCACTTTCCTGCCGGATAACTGGCTCATAGGAAAGGATTGTGTCCTCCTGACCCTCTGTAAGAAACACAAAGCAGAATCAGAGGTCACATCTGAATTGAAAATGTAAAAGAACAAAACATTTCCTTTTCACCGCATACTTCAGTTTATTTATCGGGATGTTCTGTGGCAAACAAAGCAATGCATACAGTCAAATATAAAGCAGGATTCACATTCAGTCCTATTTAATACTCCTAATCTGTCAGTAATCTAATCTCAATTTTAAATCCAGCTGCTCTCAGAGCCTTAAGTCAGTGAGAAATCATTAATCATTTAGTAACAAAAAGAACAGAGAAGACCTGCAAGCCTCTCAAGAGACTGACTATACACATAAAAAGCTGCAGAGATCTACAGCTCAGATGGAAGAATCTGTTAACTAAACAACTATTAGTCTATGATAAAGAAAAAAAAAAGGAGGGGGGGGGGGCTCTGAGCTCTGTTCAAATGAGCCTTTAAATTTCTGGCCAATATGCATTTGCAGATCATCTTAAACACACCCTCTCCTCCATAAATGATGGTGGTCTTATCAGATTGAGCTGAAGCTTCTTTCAAAAGAAGACTCCAAAGATCTTTATTATTTAGGTGTGCAAAGACCCACAGCTTCCATATTTTATTTCAATACATTCATGACTATGCAGCCATGCGGGTCCACCAAGATTGCGGCTGAAGCAGGGTGGTACGTGGAAACAGGCAGGACTACTTTTCTGAGGTTTTTAAAGTAAAATGGACTTACTTGAACTACTTTCACTGTCACTTGTGTTGGATGTCAGGCATTCTGAAAAGCAAAATACAGATTTTTCATCAAACTGTTTTTTTTAAGCAGTTGTAAGGTTTAAATGTATTTCCACCTGTCTAAATAGTCTTAAAAAAATAAAAATAAAAAAGGCCCAAAATTTCTATGACCTAATAGGCCTTAAAAAAATAAATAAAAGGGGTATAAAGAAAGCAGAAGCTCCTCTATAAGCGACAGTCAAGCGTTTGCAGAACTAGGGAAGTGGTTTTTAGGTGCAAGCAATAGGAAATTAAGTGTTTCCTGTGACGATGTCCCAATTGACCCAGACTCTCCTGGTCAAGTGTTTTCCTATCGGCAGATCTGTGCTGGTGGCAGCAGATCCGGTATCAGGGAAAGTGGAGGAAAACGTTGCTCACATGAGGGAGGCAGGAGCCGGCTGACTCAGGGGAGCTCTTCAAGCAGACACAGAGTTACAACACAAGTATCGGAACTCTGTGTGACCTTATGAGGAGAAACATGTTGGCAGAGGGACCCCCGGAGACGTTCAGACCAAGTGTCACCCCTGGCTCCCCCTCCCATAGGAATGCATGGTTTATATGTGCCATGGAAGATCAGTGAGTGTGTGTGTCTAAATGTGCGCTTCTCGCATTCCCAGCCGGGTCTGCGGTGACAAAGCGTTCTCTCTGGGGGACAGCTGCTTGACGCGGTGCAACCACACACTTACTCAAACTCTTTGATCCATAAAAGTCATCGCTTAACCCCGGGAAGTCCTAGATGTCCCGACAGGTGAGAGCAGAAACCAAGAGAAGAAAGCAGAGAGGAAGAAGAAGAGGTTAGTGAGAGTCGGAGGGGAAGAGGAGAGGAGTGCGCCCGCTGACACATTGTGCTGTCATACTCATTAAGCCTGAGCTCCACTTTGTTCATAGAGAGCCACTACTATTCAATTACACAGACCCAATCCCATTAAAATGGGATTTTGACCTGCTAAGAGTTAAAGCTTTGGTCCAGTAATGAGATTCTCCGTGTTGTGAGGTCACTGCCTGACTGGAGAATTGATCAGCCCAAAGATAAATAACAGCTGGCAGCACACATGCAGCTAGACACTCCTCTGGAGCCCACAGACGATGGAGGGGGGGGGAACCCACACCTCCAGTGTCTGTGGGGCATCTCTCTGGGACTATGAGGCAGGGTGGAGAGTGCTGCCGAGGCACAGACCGTCCCTGGAGGTGAGCGGAAAGATGGAAGACGACAGAAGTCAAGCATGAAGGGGGAAGAGGACAAAAAAATAAAATAAAAAAATGGAGAAAAAAGAGCCACCCCCTCCCCTGGATCACACAGCTGGTACTCACGTTCAGACTCCACTAAGTCGGCAACAATATTCTCCTTGCTCTTGTAAAACGGGAACTTGCGTGAGAGGTTGAAGCTTTTTTTGCGCTTCACTTTAACTGGCTGCTGATGTGTGGGTGAGAGAGGGGGGGAGGGAGGGGGGAGGAGGGCAAAAACAAAAAAACAGACGAGGTTTCAATGAAGGTACTCGACAACCATGCAAAAAATGAGGGAAGGGGGGAATAATAAAATGTGAACAATTAACATGAACTGATGAGGGTGAGACACAGGTGATGGTTGGAACATCAGAGTGGAGGAGAGACGACCAGATTAAACCTCCATCAGATGAAAGGAGCAGGAACCATAATCCTTCAACATAACCTGATGTCTCAGTAATCATTTAGTTAAAAATGGAAACTTGTTAAATAGATAGATTACATATCTGTGGTATTATAGCACCTAATTCCAACATCTGAACACATGAGCATCTAAAATAAAACACTAACAGATTACAGCTTTCCTTAAAATGACTTGAACTCCTCAAGACATAAAAAGAGAACTATTTTTTTTCTAAAGGGTTCCATCCAGTCCTTTCTTTCCATGTAAGTTACATGTTTGATGTTTCTACTTCAGCAGCGGGCCGACAGGAGGAATAATCTGCTGCTTCCATCTGTGAATCAATCAAGGCTGCAGTAGTTCCTGCTTCCTAATAGCAAACTGTGGCTGAATCCAGCAACTCTCCTGTGAACACAGCAGTTTTCTTCATGGCTATGCAGCTGCTAATCTGAGATATTTATGTATTTACAACCTTTTGTTAATAATCTGAAGTGACTAATTTCATCATGAGCTCAGGGCTTTAATCATCAAATAAATCACTGTGTATAATCGGGCTTCTTGAATTATTTATTTACTTAATCAATCAACTTTTTGATAAAAAAACTAATTTGCTGTTTTGTAAATATTTTGCCCAGTGTCGATTTCTTTGTTAAATGGAGCAAACAAGCTGTAGAGGTTCCAAAGAGATCATCTCCAGGGAGCTCCTCTGTAATCGATAGCGTAAATTGAGCGGTCTTTGTGTTTGCTCCAGTAAACAGGTGCTGGTCTCTTTCCCACACTCAGGAGGAAGTGGTAGATCTGCCTGGGAGCCCTGCAGCAGCTCTGTGGACAGCCGCTGGGGGCCCCGGGGTGGCTGCTCCTCCAAACTTACCCTGTTGGACTCAATCATGCCTGTCCTGGCGTGAAACTTGACCGTTTTTAATCTGGCTCGCTCTTTCTTTTCCACTCTAGAAAATAAAACAAAAAAAAAAGGTTTCTTTTATGTTTTTTTGGATGTCATTACTCAGGTGCTCTCCATGAAGGAGGAATCTACCTTTTCTTGCTAGGAATGACTCCGATCTGCTCGCTCTCTCCGTGTGGAGTGACGAGCCTCGCCTGCCACCACTCATCATCAGAAGCGTTTATGACATGAAGGATATCCCCATAAGAGAAACTCAGGCCTTGGCTGGGCAGGCAGCTGTCTCGTGTTCGATCATAGTCAAAGAGAGCTCTGCAAAAAATAAGGTTTGAGTTGGTCTTTACTCTTTCATTAAGATTTCAATCAATTGACCAAAAAGGACGAAGATGAGAGCTAATAAAAAAAAAAAAAAAAGACCAGAAATACAAAACTATCTTTCTCATCTTGTCTTCTTCATCCAGTGCACGCATCAGACAAACATCAATCAGTCTATAAAGCAACCACTATACCTTTAAGCCAAGTAAAAAAAAGTATTTAACCATACAGATGGGATTAAAAGTCACTGATGGATGTAATTACTACAAAATTAAACAAGCTGCATTTAGATAGATTATAAAAAGAGGAATAATTTGATTAATCTGTAGAATATTTTTTTGATGAATAATCGGATATCCAAAGCATCCTTAAAGAAGACTTTTTGCTAAATTAAACCAGCTGAAACTAAAACAATTCAACTTGAAAAGTTCCAGATAAGGCATACTGACAGACGAAAAAGTTTCTTTCAACTTTAATACAAAATATTTATACCTGTTTTTACAATCGTATATATATATAATTACAGCTCTAATTGCGTTGCTGTCAGCTAAATGCATGTTTTACATTCTCTATACTCGTTAACTATACAGTTAAGGATTTATTGATAACTAAATTAGTAGATGAATATTTTAAATCGATTAATCCGATTAAGTGTATCAGCCCAATCATGGAGCACCACAAAATTAGTGCAGGTGGTGTGAAAGGCCCCTGAAAAGCACCTTGGTAACCTCAATCTACTCTACATTTTTTTTGAGTGAAAAAATATCAGTGACATAATACAAATGATCAGAGTTGCAAATAAACTGTTTTGGTTTTAAAGTGGCTATCGCTAATATTCTAAGCAGAGATGAAAACACAGACCTAAAGTAACCGCTCCTCTTTCCAAACCACTAGATTCAGCCGCTCGTGTATCATTCAGGGCTGCAAATGTGTGAAATCATAACCGAGGCTTTTTCTACAAGCATTTATCAAAGACCTGGTTGATTTTTCCACAGCAAACTACATCTACAAACTACATCCCTCCACCTTTTGGATGAATGAAAGCAAAAACCCAGAAGCCAAACCTTCTCATCCAACATCAGTGCCTGACCCCACATATATGATCCATTTATAGAGGTGGTACTTGTTCTAAAAACTTTCATAACTACTGGTTAAAGGTACAGAAATTATCACATGCAAACCTACAACACTGAACCACATAATTGATCATTAATCCATTTGTAATTCACTGCTGTACAATTAAACAAACAGGTTTGGTCGTCAGTGCCACGGCATCTTGTTGGACCAGTCAACCAACAGCCATTTCTGAAGGAATTAGTAGGCGCTTTACTGGTTTAGGCTTCCATTGACCTCCAAGCTAACATTTACAGGTCAGGTGAGACAGAAAGGGCTTTAACCCAACCATCCGGTTCAACTGTTTTCAGATTGTATCGGACATAACGCTGCTACCTGAAACTAGATGGGAAGAAATGATGACGAATCAGCCATGATGCAATTGAAGGGAAGCTTGTCAAGTCCACTGTCAGCATTGACAATGAAATTCCTTGTGTTAGCTGTGTTGCAGCACCTTGAAATTCCTGTGTTACAACCGGAGCCAGAGAGCAGTGCACCTCACAGGCTGCAGATCTCTGCATTCCTGAAGCTGATAGGGAGGATAAGGAAACTCCTGCTTCACTCAGCATAACTGGAGGCTTAGTCACCTGCACAGGAGCACCGGCACTTCAGCAAGATAACGTTGGCCTGATTTTATTTCAGAAAACTGATTCGAACACACAGAACACTATTCAAGGCTCAGAGTTCACAATCAATTTAAGTGGACATTTTTTAGCAATGGGTCAGCTTTAAATACTAAACCTAGAATTCAATATTCTTTCAGGATAGTTTGGGCTGCAGAAGAACTATGGACTTAATCCTAATCTAAATCTAGCAATGTCGCTCTTTAAAGTTTAATTTCAATTTGATTTAAATTAGGGTTAACATCCAAAAGGGAGAACTGAAATCAAAGCCCGTTTTTGAAAGCAATATGTTTCTTTTTTATTATAAAACTAGAGTGAGAATTTTTTTTATTAATTTGGACTGGTAGAAAAATTGGGCAATTAAATGTTTTAGTCATATTGCCCAGCGCTGCAACACCTGTCTACAATGTTGAGTTTTGACAAAGTTGCTTTGTTTTTGGTATTTTGGGTGGGACAGACATGCATCCCAACCATATATGAAAAAGTAGTGGGATACCAAATCTAGACAAAGGCCGACCGACGTCTGAACCGCTATTAGCATGCATTTCCTGATACATTAGTGCATTCATAAGCCATGCATTGAGATCACCTGAATTGGTCAGAACAGCATACGCTGACAGATGAGCACACATTGTTTTTAACACGCATGAATTATTCCCACATTTAACCTAACCTAAACCTTTAGCAGCAGTGTACCGACAAGCAAAAACAAATTTATTTTAACTTAAAAAAAAAAGAAAATCAGCTTTGATTATACTGTTATTTCTTTGATGTAGAAACTGCCAGACATGACTGAAGTTTCCAGGAAGTTGAGAGAAGAAGCCTCTAAAGCTAAAACCATTTCAATCTTATTAATTAAAAGTAAGTTACTTTAGTAGTAAAAAAAGTGTGTGTGCAGGAATTTAAATTTGGTTACATTTATTTTAATGTTTAAATTCATAGAAAACTTTAGCTATGGTTTATACTGTGACTTTGAATTAAATTAGGTTAGATAAAAACTTATCATATGCTGTACTGACAGGAGAGAGTTCAATCAATTTTTTGCTTAATTTTCTTTTTTGCTTGAACTGAAATGTGTAATATTTTTTATCATTGTCATTTTTAATTATGCAAAGAGGAAGAAAAATAAATATCGGCTTCAAATAACCAAGCAGCCCAACTGGGGACCGGTTAGATTATTATCAAAACAGTAAGAATCGGCGTTAAAAACATGGGTCTATCCCTAGTTTATAGTTAGAAAACCAGCTGACAAATAAAGTGAATAACAGGAGCAAATATCCACAGAGTTAACCTCTAAAGGAAGATCAGGTAGGGAAGGACAAAGGGGGAGTGTATATTTTTATACTTTATCTGCTCTCCATTTGATTAAAATCACTTTAATCTGTCATATTCTGAAAAAAATGCTGGACTATTATAGTTCTCAGTCTGTTACTTCTAGATATGTAGTCCATTTAGTTTATACTGCAGCTGCTCAATTAGAGCCTCTGCTGTTTGTTAGTCAGAATCAATACATCATCATCAATTGATGAAGATATTCATTTATCTGCAAGACGCCAACTAATGGCTCATCTTAACATTTAATATCCAAAATAAAGTTTTTTGTTAAAAATCATAGCCGTAATTATACAACATACTCTGAAGAGGCACATAGTGGTGAGGAGGCCTTTAAGCTCATCAGAGCTTCAGCAAAAATACAAAGAAGCACCCTGACAACAGGGTTACATCACATACATGTTTCACCTTGAACCTTTGTTCAGCCTTTATGACTTGCAGTGCTTGTGTAGGCAGAGGGCTGCCACCTGCTTTCATTTCCAAATGAACCTCCATCCAGTTTGGCAACTGGCCCAAAGTGTCATAACGCGAGTCACTTTGACAAGCCCCTCTGTCAATCTGTATTAAAAGAAGCTGAGCCAATGTCATCTGAGGCGTCGAAACAACAACACGGGGTGTCCGTCAGCTTTTAGAGGATGAACGCCATCAACCCGCTGCCCCAAATTAAACGGCATCTCACTTACAGCTTAGCGCCCAATAGAATAAAATAAAGAGTCTTTCATCACACGATCTGTGCCATGTGTGCCTGCTTTTAAGAACACGTGCGTTTAGGCTTCTTTCACCCCCACAGACAAGCTGAGGTTGGTTATGCAAGAGTGGTTATTTTAACAGCAGATCTCTGAATTTGATGTAGTGAGTGCAGCTGTGTATTTGTGTGTACCTGACATAGAGGGAGCGCTTCTCGCTGGTGCGCAGGGAGCCTGATCCTGAGCTCATGCTGCTGTTCATCATCTGCTCCCTCAGGTCGTGGATCTTTGACTCAAAGCGACTGTACTCTGTCAAAAAACAAAGAAATGTGTCAACATCACCTTAAAAAACAGGAAAGGGGTTCATTGTAGAGAAAGGTCCCACCATCTTGGACCGATTTCAAGCAAAACGGAGCAGGGAGTGTTATTTTGCTTTAATATTAGTAGAGATTAGAGTTTTGTTGAGCCCAGCAGTAAACTAAAGCGAGAATCCTTAAGCTGATTAACGACCCTGGGTGCAGATGGTTTATCACAGATCTGCCTTACACATCCTGTAATGTCTCATGTCAGGTAATTAATTACTCAGATTAATTAAGTTCAACATGGGCTCTTTAGTGGGGTTTAGAAAAAGGGGAAGACCTCCAAGTATTTCACATGCACAGTCATTTGTCAAAGGTGTATAAATCCTGTAGCAGCTCCTCAGCTCAGGGATGATGTATGGATCCAGTTGGAGCTTCTCATTAAGAATGCTCTCATTAGCCTGCTTTGTGCAGGGGCCACTGCACCAGAGGGTTTGGGTAGATAAACAGAAGGGCAGACGCGGTCAGAGAAACATAGAGCCTGGGGATTTAGGTAAACGCAGCACAGATACACAAAAAATATGAAATTTATACTTAACCACAACTTGCTAATAGAAGTTAGACCCAAATTTTTCTCATAGAGCTACCAGAGTTATGGCAAAATAGAGTCAGCTGCTAAAGAGGCACATTAAGTCTTTCAGCATTAAATCAGGAAGATAATCCATGATAGGACCAATAAATATCAGATTCTTTAAAGATATAATTAAAGTAGTAGCTGCGTACAGCTCAGAAATGAACCAGTTCTACCTAATGTAACCATGTTGCTGCTTTAGGCTCTTTAATCCTTGTAGCAATAAATCTAAACACAGAAAAAAAAACTAGAATCATGAGGAAAAGGGGGGATTTTAGCATATGTTTATACATTTGGGATTATAAGTATAAAACAGTCAGAGTAAGTTTCAAACAGTAAGCTTTGATGGCAGCACTAGTGTTAAATATTCACTTCTGTCTGAATATTTGCTCCCAACACTCATCTATATGTAAAAACCTAACATTAGCCGACGGTCTTCTACAGTTTTAAACTGTCCTGTTGATATGCAAATATTGATCAACCTGATTTGTATGCATTATGCAGCTCATTTATAAAGTCTTCCAGATGAAGTCAAAAGCTGATGACTGATTATCATTTTGGGTGCAATATTGCTGCCTTTTAACATATCAGGATCTTGTTGGATGAGATCATGTTACAGCCTTACAGTGTTGTCTGAACAATGCAGCGTACCCTTCATGTTCATAATTAGTTAACAGAAAATGGTGGCTGCCATATGGATGGTCTCCTGCCTTGCTGCTTAATCATTGACAGCTGGAAACACTTCTTGTAGCGTGAGCCACCTGAGATCAAAGTCTATTTTCTATCACATGAATGCAAGAAGCTGCCTTTAAAAGAAGACACTTCATGTCTACACAAATGATTTGGCTCAAGTTTTTTTCCAAGCTGCTGCAAAACACTGAGCAGGTGCAAAAACAAGTTCCAACTCACTCCCTGCCTCAGCCTACTGGGAACTTAAAGCAAACAAGGATCCGGAGCCTTGCCACAGCGCTCCACCCTATTATCTGCTCCAAGGGTTAACAATGCATCTATGTGACGCTGCAAGGTGAGGTAACCAGACACTGCCTGACTGGCTGTAACCAAGAGCAACCAGCTAGCACTCCTTGAAATGGGACTGGATACACGGAAGCAGCTATTCAGCAGAGCCGAACTGGCTTTCAGGCACAGGAGAGAAGGGAACAGAGCGAGTGAAGCAGCTGCCTGGAAGAAGAGGGCCTGCAGAACGAGACCAGGAGTTACTAAATAAAGGGAGCTCCATTAAAAGGCCTGTTTCAAAACACAGCCATTGTAAGGACTCTGTCTGCGAGATGCAACAAATGCAAAGACGCACAGGTGGTGATTTAATGACGAAATGTTTTTCATAGTAGAAATGTAAAAGAAGAAAAAGAGCAGTGCTCTTAACATGCTTGGCAAAAATGTGATTACGGTAGATAAAATATTAACGGCCAACACACGTTTCTTTACACAGGAAATGTTTAGCAATAAAAGAAAAAATACAAAAACAAAATGATCACATCTAAGAAATGGAAAAAGAAAATAACCGCAAACAGAACTGTTTTATTTTGTGAGAAAAAGAAAACTCCTCAGACTGGTTACAGAAGATTTTGCCTTAGCAACATGGAAACAGGGACTAGACATTAGCTGAATTGACCATTTGTCGCCATGTAAACAGCCAGCATGTGCGGCCACAGTCAAACAAATTGAAAACAGCAGCAAATACTCCAGTTAACTACAGAAGCATATTTTACTCCCGTTTTTCTCAAGTATCAAACTATCTTGATCAGTAGGAGTTGTTTTACTAACGGATGCATCATGTGCTGTAGTGGGAAGCTTTGACAATGATGCTGCGAGGTTTAAGCTGATGACAGCATTACTGGATGCAAACCCAATAATCAGCAGGCAGGAGCCACGTTGGGAGACGGTTTGGTATAGACGGGGAAAGTCTGCCTCTTTCCTGTCTCTACATAACGATGGTTTTCAGCGAGAAGCATTTGTAAGGAGCAACATCTTCGTAGAGAAGGCAGCAGTGTTGCTTAAAAAAAAAAAAAAAAGGAGGTCAAACTGTAGAGGAGGCAGCATCAGCTAAAACAATGAACTCTATCGTGTACATTTTAATACCAGGAGGTTAAAACAGGGCTGAAGGACGGAATAAATCCAAAACTCATTTTTTCAACATTACACATGTGACTAGGGTGTAAATACACAAGTTCTAAATGAATTGATCTAAAGTTGATTGATCTTATCCATTGGCTAATGATTCATTCCTAAGCAGCCATTTTCTTAAAAAACTGAGTTTTTCTGTTTTCTCTGCATGAAGAAGATCCTTTTAAAGCAAAAAGGGCAAAATGTTTTTACAGCATAGACGCATAAAGTGCATCATTATATTTTAACAATTTATTGTGCCAACAATAATGCACACTGACTGAATGAACACAAACTGGGTTCTTATACATTGTTAAACGTAGCTATATCGATAAGATAAAACTAAACCGGTACCTATTAGGTTAATGAATGATTCAAAACTGTCATAAAAATACAGGGTATGTCACTCTGATGTGCAGTAAGACTATTTGCCACTTTGTTCCAACAGTCAGTGGTGACTATTTATATATATATATATATATATATATATATATATATATATATAAATAAAAGGTCATAGGTGCACATTTTTCATCAAAATTGCTATAGTTTCAAGATTAATACATTCACAGGATGTCTAGAGTGGTATAAAAGTGTGCATTTTATTAAGGAAGAACAGCATAAATCTGGACAGATCCAAAATGGATATAGATTTAATTCTGGTTATGATGCCAACAGAGAAGGATTCTGCATCAATAGGAATAGTAGGTCAAATAAAGTAAGACTGAGTTCAGGCGATGTCAGATCCTAGTAGCTCCGTGACTGAGCTGAGAAATGGCTTTCGCAAAAAGAGGGTGAGCATTAATAAAAGTTTAGTTTTTTTGTGTCAACTTGTAAGACTCAAAGTTCAGAATGTATTTTTTTAACTGGTAAATTAGATATTTGTTTTCGTTGTTAGAACTAGCAGCAGGCTGGCAAACCGTACAGAAGAAGTGTGCAGGAGCCTGAGTGAGAGACTTACGGGCCAGGAGGAGTAAAACTGGCTGCGCTTATTGCAATGTTACAAAAGTTTCACATAAGGTCCTCCACATTTCTATCATGGGATCCACACCTTCTGAGCACATTAGAGCAGTTGATGCAGCTTTACCATGCATCACAGCTAAGGGGCTGCTATTTAGGTAACAACATACGTTTATTGAGTGTTTATATTTACAGACGGGACCACATAAAGAGCATTCTGCATCCTTGCTGCCTTTAAAGTGTGTAACTTATCCTCCAGTATGTAGACAAGCACCGATCAGGATTTTGAGCGCAGCTCACCGATCACAAAGATCAGTTGTCTGAGGATCACAACATCAAATCTATAAATTCTTCAGCTGCTGCCTTATGTACATTGGTATTTTATCAAAAATATCAAAATTATAGGAGATGAGAAAGCATCATGAATTGACCATTTTAGTGTTGGAGGCTGTGGAGAGGAGCTTTTTTGAATCAAAATTAAAGGTAGAAAATAATGCAGTCAAAGAATGCGGAAACACTCTTTTAGAAAGCCCGCCTGAACAAATCTTTAAACATTATTGTGCCAAGTGCACGAAACTCCTCCAATATAAATAGAATTTTAGAAATTAGTTAAAAATCCCATGTGCTTTTCAAGGGACTTTGAAAAACTGTGTCATTATCTCTCAGCAAAAAAGTTTACAGCATCGTATTTCTCAGTCCATGGCTTCTTTCCACCTTCAGTTTGTATGTCATTGCCTTCTTTATTCTGTCACAATCGACTGTCATACGGTCAAGAAGAAAAAGACACCTCAGCCAGAAAGACTATGTCCAGTGTTGGTTATGATAAATTAGCAGAACAATTCATAACTAGCTCTGAAAATACTGACCCAATTTTTTCCTCCCTCTCAGTCATAACTCCCTTCTCTAGACTTAATTTATCATGATTGGTTTTCTCAAATAAAAGCTTGGTTAATTCTGTACTTCTAATCTTTAGTAAAAACAGACCCGTCTTTTTTTTTTTTTTAAGCTGGGTACAGGGAGTGTTAACACTAGTAACGTTTTAACCAAATCTTTATCTCAGCAAGGATCCACTGCTCAGGTCAAAAGTTAATCAATTCACACATCATGATATCACAGGACGACTCCCTGTAGGTTGTGATAAGCTCACGCTCTTCTGTTTTAAAGGCTCTTCTACACTGACTGTAACTTAAAGCACGACCAACTGTTGCTGTAAGAAAAACATGCTTTCTAACAGCAACAATGTTTTTCTCATTCAGACATACGAGGGATAAGGCTTTTGCCAACCACTACAAAAAAAC